CATACATACATACATGGGCATGTATGTATGTATGTATGTAGGTAGGTAGGTAGGTAGGTAGGTAGGTAGGTAGGTAGGTAGGTAGGTAGGTAGGCAGGCAGGCAGGCAGGCTGGCAGGTAGGTAGGTATGTATGTATTTATGTATTTATGTACGTATGTATGTATGTGTAGCTATTGGATCGTTGCCTGGAGAAGCCAGATTGCCGCCAGAAACGCCTTCGCGGCACTCCTGGTTTAGGTCTGGGCTAGGTCTTTGGATTCAATTTGGGTTTGAACGAGCTTGGTTAGGGTGTATGATGGTTTTAAAAGTGCGTACGCAGGGTTTAGCGTTTGGGTTTGCAGCGTTGAGGTATAGGGTTTTCCAGGTTTCTGGTTGGCAGCTCTAATGGAAGAAAACAACAATATAACAATGTAGGGTTCGTTCAGGGGTCTCGTATTTTGGGGTTAAAGGGCATGGAGGTCGTGGCGTCGTGGAGCTCCTAGTCCCGTATAAGGCTCACCGCGCTTCATTCGTCGCACACAAAGCCTCTATGTAGGGTCAGACTGAAACGGAAGGTTCGGGGCATCTGGTCGGTTGGGCTTTGCGGGCTCAGCGTTTCATCAGGCTTCAGGACCTGACCAGGACATCGGAATCCCAAATTCGACCTACCAAAGCAGGAAGGACAACTCGTGTTTAAAGCCCGCCTTGCAGGGCATTCCGAGTAGCGTCGCACGACAAAGTCTCATACGGTGCGAAACAGAAACGGTATCTTACCTTGTGCCCTAAGTTCGGTGGACCAGCCGAGTATTTTGACTCGGTTCGACAGGAAGATCAACAGCATCCCAACATGGCCGCGCAGATTTGCATTGGGTGATTCAGAAACGATCACAGACCCACAGATAGATTGATCATGATAGATCCTACGCGTTGCGATCAGATCCTGAATGCGGCGTCAGACCTGACTCTGCTCTCACGGTCTACCTGGACCACCCAACTACCCTTGACTCTATTCCTCTCTATGCCCACCATCAGGGATCTTCATAACTTTGACGAAGGTGCCATAGACGCTGTCGTTGAGGACATCGGGGTCCAAAGCTTTACTACGGTCTCATGGCTCTCATTTTAGGCTTCGGGTTTAGGGCATGCTTTTGGGCTTTCCATCTCGTCCTGCACACCATACCCGCCAGAGGCATCCCATCTTCGGGTCGCAGAAAGGTCGGCTGCTTGCCGCGTGCGCTTCGAATTCTTCGGGTTTTGCGGTTCGAGCTATGGGTGTCAGGGCTGTCGAGGTTGGAGCTTAAATGTCTGCGCTGTGCGGTCCTACTGTCTTACAGGAGGGTCCAGAAAATGGCAGACCCACAAAGGACACTGAAAGGACCCTGCGAACAAGCAGGTGGCAGTACGATCTGGTAGAGTCGAGAACCCACAACCCACAATTCTGGAGTTGGTGCTTAGGGCTCAGGGGTAAAAGGCTTCATCTCGGCTCCAGGCTGCAGGATAAGGCTCAAAGTTTCGCATCTCGAACTCTGGCTTCGCATTTGAGGGCCGCACGGATGTGGAGGCGACTCGAATCATTAAGCCGTGGCCTCTGCAGCGTCTAAGCCATCCGCTTTTGATCTGATAAGAGCTGCGGGCCGGATCCATCCGCAAAAGTGGAGGCCCAAAACGCGCGGCCGCCTGAACTGTGATTGACGGTCGACAGTTGCCACAACATGTTCAAGTGCGGAATTATGTTGGATGTTGAATCAAACGGACATCTGCATCATGATTTGGTAACATCACGATGAATGTGTGTGGGCTTCCTTAACATCCTCAAGCACATCGTAACCCAAAGCCGCGGACTCAAAAACCCTCTGCCTTCAAATTCTAAGGATGCAGTTTAAGAAAGTTTGTGCCCTGAATCACCAGACTGACGACTTCAGAACCTAAGTAATCAACGCCTTCAAGCCTGAATGCAAGCACTGTCCAATTATTGCAGAGCTGGCTGTATTCAACTTACATGGCCAGTGGCCTCAGACCATCATGATGATGCTCCGTAGCATGCAGGTAAACCTGACACTGAGATTGCAACACTAGGCTGCACCTTCAACTTTAACCTGAAAGCGTCATCTTCGTGGTCCTAATAGTACTGGCACTGATGGAACGGAAGCCCGCACAACAATAACGGCAACGAGCGCGTGCTGAAAACTACAAGTTGAACGTTACAAATGCTTGAACATGGTGACCCTATTCAAATCCAGCACCATTTGGCTGGAACCCTGAACCACCGAGCCACATCTTTCCTCGTACCCACTTCCCCGAGGAATCACCGTGGGCTTCGGGTGTGTTAGGGGCGGCATCAGGGGTCTCAAGTTCGGCTTATAGTGGCTGGAGGCTTGTCGGTATGGGCTTGAGCCCTAGCTCAGAAAGCTAATTGCAAAAAGCTAGAGAAGTTGCGGTCATTAGGGTTTAACTTACTACGTCGTCGCTAAAAGGTGAAACATAACTGGTCTGGTGAAACTCTCTGATGCCGTCCTATTCACGCGGAGCTGTTCGCTGCGGGCGTCCGGATGTGGCAGCTTCTTGGCAACACTCACAACACGACCCTTCTCGGCCCTTAAAGCTGCCTCGTGGTATCGGGGCCTCCGACAAAGAGATGCCACTGAGAGTTTCCCGAAATATGTGACCTTGACATGAAATCAGTCGAAGCAAGCTCGGAAGGAACAAGTCCAGGTTTGGGAAACCCCTTTAGGGTGGGTGCTCACCTGAAATGCTCTGAGATTGGGCCAAACCCAAACCTGGCACTGTAGCCGCGCAGCAAGTAAACGCTTTACCAAGCCAAACCTCCGTAATACTCGGACAAAGCCTTGCGCCTTAAATCGCTGAACCCTACACCCTAAACCCAAACATCCCAATCCCACTATTCCTAAGCCAGAAATCGCTAATCCCCGCACCCCGTCACTCCCTAAACCTTAAACCCCGAACCTGAAGCTTAAACCGACCCAAGGAGCTCCCAATCTTTCGAGCCCTGGACGCTGTCAGGTGTCTGATTCGCACCGACTACTCCTGAGGACGAATTAAGATTCTGCGTGCAGGCACCCCATTGCGATCAAAGTGCGTCTACTGGGATGTGGTTCTTACATACGGCGGCCAATAACCTGCCTGTTGTCAAGCACACGGTACTTACAGCGGTTGTGAACTAGATTCCCCTCCTCCACCGATTCATCATGATGTGCTGGTTGTGGTGGTTCCGGCGGCGGTGGTGGTGCATTCGGCGTGTTGGTGGTGCTCGCGTGGTGGCGGCTGTGGTGGGCGGCCGGGGATGCGGGCGGTAGGTGTCGGGAGTCGGGAGACGGCGGACATCGCGGCGGAGGCCCAGGGGGTTCGCGGTGGCGGCTGCAGTGACAAATGGTGGCGGCGGTGTTGCGGGGCGGGGGGGGGGAGTGATGCACATGAATGTGTTCGTAGGTACTGGGGATTTGTCACGGCTTTGACGGTCATCCTTTCCACCATGCTGTTACTGACCGCGACAGCGGTCACTTGCAGCTACTGCGTTGTTGAGCTTCTTCCTCTTCTGGACTTCTTGCTATTCAAGATGTCTTGGTCGCCAAGCCCAACAAGCAAAACCAATCCACAAACCCCAATCGGCAAAGGGGAAACCAACAGCCCTTAACCTACAAACCTGCAAACTATACCCTCGAATCTAGATCTAAATCATGTCCCAGAACTGGGACGGGGCCTGTGGATGCCTTGTGCGCTCAGTCAGGCCCCAGCTCAAAGAAACTCTCGTTCGCCAGCCTGAGGATTTCTCCCGGGCCCGAACAGGAAGCGGGAGTTTGGGGTGCAGGGGGTTGTGTTTTGGCTGCCAGGGCAAGGGAAAGCGAAAGAGACCTAGTCATGACAATGACCTGGATGACAAGCCTGGTGGCAACAAAACCTTCGCGCCGTCTGCGAAGGCCCACCCACCCTACAACCCCAAACCATCACAACACGAAAAGGGACCTATCTATACAGTCTAGAACCCTCCTCGACCATTTAGGATACTCATCATGAGGACCATCCCTGAGTAGATTTTGGAAACCCATGATTTTGAAACTGAAAGCCGCAATCCTGAACCGGCGCTGACGGCCGCGCTTTTCGTTGGCTTCGGCCCATAGTTGCGACGGTCGGTTTAGGGCGCGGGGATTAAAGAAACTGACCTCTGTTGCCTCAGCACCTGAACATGTGGCTTGTGAGAGTGTTCTGATAGCACAATCCATGCAACCTCTAACCTGAAAGCAGAGCCCGTACACGCGAACCACTGAACCTCCTGACACTGGACCCTACATCCCGCAAATTACCCCAGACATCCACGGACGCTCGGCTCCAAACCCTTCCCCGGGCTGTGCGGGTCTGGGCGGTGAGACGACCGGAGCCTGTCGGTCCGAAGTCGACAAGTTCGGGGGTCCTTGGTTCCTTTGGAGCTTCTGCGAAGAGTTGTAGGCCGGTGTTCCATGAAGGGTTCAGGGGTATGGTCTGGGGCTTGAGGCAGACTTAAGATTAGGGCTGAAGGGCTTTAGGGCTTGGGCAAATGCGTTCAGGTATTAAGGTCGGCGAATTGATGCTGAAGGGTCTTTTGACTTCAGGGCTCACGGCCTCTCGGGCTTCAGAGCTTGACTCATTCACGGTTGAAGGCCTCCGGGTTTGTGTACCATCATTGTTAGGGCTCTTAGGGCCGTCACAGATGGCTTGAACAGATTTTGGGATTGTCGCCGGCACCTACTTCAAGAACAGTTCAGACATTAAATTACGACAGTTGGAGTATCTTGGCAAACCCCATCACACGACAAACTGAATCCGCGCAGAGCTGCGCAGGAAACCCCTAAACTTCTAAACTCCCTGTCTCCTTGGTTATTGAAGGAGTTCTCCGGCTCTAGGGCCTGGGACTGGGGAGATCTGGCTGTGCAGCGAGCTGGGACTTTGGAACCGCGACGCATCGCTCCGGGGGGGCCAAAATTTCGTCACAAAGCCGTCGCCCAAGAACCTTGCAAGCCTGAAGGATTCACCTGAACCGGCGCGGAGGAGGGTTGAAAACTACCCGAGCCCAAAGTTGCTTCCGCGAACCCTTCGTCCTCCTGGGCTCTTCGACATTCTGGGCTAGGCGGTGCACCGCCTTGCATTGGGGGCTTGGTGCTCCGTCTTGAGCGTCGAGGCTGAGGCTCTAAGTCTTGATTGGATGCTTTCGAAACTTGGGCTCCGAGTTTCGTCTGTGGGCTTTGGGCCTACCTGGGCCTGGGTCTGGGTGCTGATGAATGGCACGATATTGGGCGGTCCTTCTTTAGTTCGCGATTCCAAAAACACACACCGCAGCCACCCCAGAATTAAGGTCTTGGTGGGGAGCAAGCCGTTTGACAGAGTCCAGACTTTGAGACTGTGGAGTAAACCGTTCGAGAGGGACTGGAGATGTTGAGAGGCCAGCAACCCCTTCCAGAAGAACTGTCGCAAACCCTTCCAGAAAAACTCGACACGAGACAAAAGAACGAAGCAGTCGAAATCCCTTCTGAAGTGCCTGGAGAGGAACGCAGACAGAAGCAAACTGGAGAATGTAAGAGACGAAGCAACCTGTTGAAACGGACGAAAGGATTTGAGAGGGGAGAGCAAGCGGGAGCAAACCGATAGAAAAGCACTAAAGAGTTTGCGAGAGGAGGGCAAGCCTTCGAAAAGGACTGGAGATTTCCAGGGGAGGAAGCCGTTGGAAACTGGCTGGACGGTTGAGCGGGCGCGACAAAGCCGTTCCAAAGGGAACGCCGAAGTTGGGAAGGGAACCAAACGGCTTGGGAAGGAACACAGATTTTGAAGGATTGCAGCAAACTTACTGGCAGCTCAAAAAACTACAGTCCTGCATGGTGACAGCAACAGCTAAAAACAGAGCATGATGTTTTTCAAAATCGCTTTGTCAGCACTATCCGGATGGCAGTCTGAGCTGAGAGGACTCGAGTTTTGTGCTTGGGTCTGCAGGTTCACGGGTAACAGGTTGAGGGTTCGGTGCCTTGGTCCAGCTTGCGTGCAAACCAATCATTCAATAAGTACGTGAACCCTGTTACCAACGCCGATTGTAAATTGCTACCAACCACGAGGCAAACGGAAACAGGCCTGTCACTGTCAGATGCAGCCTAGACCCTAAACCCTAAGCCCTCCCCGCCTCCACTAGGGGGGTTCCCGCGGCCACTTGCTGGTAGCCTTCCTCCATGTGGGCTGAACCTGTGTCTCCGTGAAGTTCGGGGACTCTGAGGTTTAGGATCTAGCGAGTTTCCCCGCCATAAACAGTTTTAGTTGCAAGCGATCGGGTGATTTGGTTCCATGTTAACGCCGTGCTTTCTCCGGAACCCCCAACTCGCACACCCTCAACCCTTGAGGTGTAAACCCTCAACACCAACCTTACGCAAGGCTTCTGCGTCTTGGTTTCGGCTGAATTTATCCAGCGGGACAGCAACATCGGACAAGAGCATGTGTGGAAGCAGTCTGGGCCCTGCGGTGGCTGTAGCCGGAGCCAGCTACTGCAGCAGCCTACGAAGTTGTGGCGTGGACGAGCAATGGAATGAGAAATCCCCCCACCATGTGGTTTCGGCTTCAAAACTCTCCCAACCCTACCAACCCTCGGCCCGATTTACCAGAAGCAGTCCACCGTTTGTTTCCTCGGACCCACCCCTCTCTTGCTCGAACGCCGAGATACATGGTCGAGGAGCTTGAAGAGCCTGCATAACGGGTTCCAGGGATCCGAGTTTGTAAAAATTGTCGAAGGGGGGCGGTCTGTGGGTTTTCCTGACAGGTGCAAGCTAAGCAGGGGAGTGTTTTGGCGGGGGTCTTGGGGTCCTCTGTGAGAATCTGCAACATCTGCATGCACATTCGAGGGGAACGATTGACAAATGCTTAGGCTCTCCAAGTCCCCAACCCTGTTCAGGGGACACCAGTGTGGCTGCGGATGGGTTACGAACTCCGGCGGAAGCATCTTCTGAGAGGATGCGACGGCCTAGCTAAGCTGAGGGATGTGCATGAATGACTGCCAGGTGCTTGAAACCAAACCTCCACCCTCGGACAAAAAGCCTGTTTCGGATTTACGGTTTCTTACTTCAGGGCTGCAGATGTAGACGCTGCATCTTGCATGGACCTCAAGCTGAGCGAGATCAACCCTGGAAGGCCAATGCGACACAATTTCTGAACCATCCAAAGCAAGAGAGAACTAGGCCGCAAGAGTTGTTCATGGTCCCGGAGCGATTTAACCTCACGCAACTAGAATACATGAGTGTGGAACGCAAACCAATTTCGTCATCGCGACGGTTACCGTCACGGCAAGATGCAAGTGCAATGCAGTCTTGACCATGCAAGTGGTATGATGAAAAAGCACTCCCGAAAGAGCCGACATTGCAAATCGATGGTCGCTCAACTCCGCGCCTCCCGCGCAGGCAGCAACTGCATCCCCGGAACGGCCTCTGCATTCCAAGAGTACAAGGGGATTGCATTCGATACATACAGACATACAGTATACATACATGTGTACATACATACATTGCCGGTACCATTACAAGACCACTACCACGACCACGACCAGCCAGCACCACTACCGATGCCAAACCTGGCATTGATATGATCATTGCCACTACTACCACGATTGCCATCAGTATTGCTACTATGGTTCTGATGATGACAGCTAAAACCACCATTACCATGATTCCAATTATTACCAGTGTTACCAAGATTAACAGCCTAACCTAGCCAGCGAGCTATCTAGCTAGCTACCTACAATACAGATACACATACACAGACAAAGACTCACAAACACAGGCACAAACACACTCGCACACACACATGCATGCATGCGCGCGCAGACACACACACACACACACACACACATGCACCTGCATATGCACATATACATCCACAAGCGCATGCACATACACATGCACAGGAACATACTTGCATCTACATGTGTACATGAATATACAACGTGCAAGTGCATATACATGCAAATATACATATGCGATTTAATAAATACATACATGCAAAAACAAACACATACATCCGTAGATAGCCGTACACACACAACTCCATAGAACTGTGTGCATGCATCCATCCATTCATCCGTCCATGTATACCTGCATACATGCATACATGCATGCATGCACACACGCATACATGCATGCATACAAACACACATACATGACTACATAAACACATACATGAGTACATACACCCAGACATACCTACCTGCCTTCCTACCTACCTGCCCGCCTGCCTGCTTACCTGCCTACCTACATCCATGCATACTCTACATAAACACCTGCATGCATACATGCATGCATACTCACCTAGATACACACATACATACATCCATGCATACATACAGACACATAAACACGTACGTACATACTTACTTACATACAAGCAGACAGACAGACGGACGGACGGACGGACGGGCACACGGGTCTCATGTTCTCAATGTGTAATTTCAACTTAGGAAAGCTCAATGCTCAACTGAGACTTCAAAGGATAAAATGTTGAAGGAGGTCTCTCAATAGGCTCGGGTTACCTTGTGGTCCTTCACTAGAAAGAAGCCAAGATACCTGAATTGCACAGCGAAGATATCACATGATAATTACCATGCACCGCATGTAGGATCACTATGTCACAAACGTTCTGCAGGTACACGAGTCAGCGTCC